CGGGGGGCGCGGATGTGACAACCCAATTTGGTCTTGGCGATGTATCCCGCCAACTCCACTCTCACCTGATATGACATCATTACCATGCCAACTTTCGCTGCTTCAACAGCTCCAAACTGTATAAATACACATGACACCACCCTTTGTCGGAATCTCATCTCGTGATACTTCCTCCATCGCCTCAACATTAGACCAAGTCTTCAGGTATTATAACCCCTCTTCTCTCACTCCTCCGATAATGTAAGTCCCTTCGCCTATGCGATATTGCCCTCTTGTCTCGATTTGGGTGATCGTGCCATCATTGGAAGCTCACTATAACCCCTTCACAGCTTCTCCAAATACAACCTCACAAAATGTCTTACGCAGAAGCTGCTGCTAAGGGTCCTAAGCAGTCTCCTGAAGAGGTACCGTTTTATGTCTCATTGTTCTAAATTGATATATGACTAACTCGACTGCAGGCGTAAGTTGGACGAATATGCACGCCTTGAGCTTTCGAACTAACAAAGCTTTTTTTCCTGAAATAGTCGCGCTCCCGATATCAACCGAGTTTACAAGGATGAATCCGAATCCACGGCTTCGCTCGTTGACGTCGACGGCCCGCATGTGACCGCGGTCGACTCTGAATTCCTGGAGCAGGATGTGAAGACAACCACCCAGGCCGAACGGATAGAACGGGAACAAGCAGAGAAAGCTCAGGAAGCCCGCGAGAAGAAGCAGAAGCCAAAGGCCAAACCATCCCGTGTTCGCGGCAATGAAGGCAACCCAGTGTTCATTGGGAACGCTGCCCTTATGGCCCTTGTCGGCGCAGGTCTGGGTTTCGGTGCCTACAGAAAACACACACAGGGAAAGCTTTCCTGGGAGGTTGTTGGACTCTGGACAGGTATCGTAGGCGCCGCCGGTGCTGTTGATTACTTTGTCAGCAAGTATGTGGCCCATGCTTCCTAGTTGTATGGCGACCAATGCTAACCGAATGACCTCCGTAGATGGTTCCTCCAGAACAAGTACCCTCCGAAATAGATACTTGAGGTGAAGACCTCGAGCCTTCCCTTGTTTCACATACTTTATACCAGGGTTTGTCGAATTTTGTTGTGGAGTGGTTAATGGTTCGGCCTGGCGCGTTTTGATGTCTTTCTAGTTTTCAACGAAGATATTTTCCAGCTCCGAGATTCGATCCATTTCAGCGAAACACCATATAATAACAGTAGAGTTGAGAAATTGTATTCGCCAGGGCTATCACAAGTGGGGACTCAAGGCACATATTGTCTTGTTCTTCTCGCAGACATCATAGGCCCGCTGCGGCCGTTGGTTCGTGGAAAGAATACGGATAGATCAACCAGAGCTTCAGACATTTATCGTCGTTTGATATCAGAGGAATAATTGCGACCTCAGAAGGCAAAGTCCACCATGGGTGGTGACTGGTCCATTAGAGGCGGTCAACGACGTCAGAATCGTGGCCGCTGCAAGAACATGTGGCCTATTGATATATTTGACACCTTGTATGTGCAAGATTTGCTGAAGATTATTGCATCCGAGCACGTCGCTACCATCAGGATACTGAAAAGTTTGTGAACTGGTCTATTTCACTCTACGCCGGCTTAGATCTCATTGCGCACCGCCACTGTTGGAGATATACCTATCCGTGTTGACACCAATATCTTGCTTGTGTTGAAAGACCGAATGCGGTAAAGTATAGGATGGTATTGAGCTCTTTCAACATTGGAAAGCTTAGACTAACTCGGTTTTTTGCAACCGTCTAGAATTCTCTGTTCAACTCCGCCCTCAAGCAGTCGTCTGCTATTCGCCGTGACCTTGACACCTTTGCACAATCGCCCGCAACGACTCCTGCTGCATTGCAAGGTAATCTACACCGGAGAGCCTGTACCCCCCTCTTAGACCTTACGGACATACGTATTATCTTTGCTATTGTCTCGATACTAACATCTCTACGTAGGCCAAATTGCGGCCTCGTTAGCCTCATTATCGCGGACAGTTGATGACTATTCCGCCCTGTCGAAGAAGGAATTGATTCCGGAAAAACAAGAAAAGGCGTTTGAAAGAGTCAAGAACTTCCGGGCGGAGCTGCAGGATTATCGGCAACATTTTGACCAACTACGAAAGGAACGGGAGGATGCTGTAAGTGACAAGACCCCTAGTTTCGTCTTGCTAATGGATGATCACTAATTGGCGACTTTGCCTCGCAGCAATCTGTAACGAACCGCCACGAGCTTTTGGGCCGACGACCACACCATACAGCTACACCTGAGAACCCATATGCGCAACCATCAGTCCCCAACGCCTCACCCTTTGTTCCTTCGTCGCCGCGATCAGGCCCCGGCTTTGGAGGGTCGGACTATACCCGGGAAACGCATGCTCTGCGGGAGCAATCCTTCCTATCAAATACTAGTTCTCAAATTGACGACTTCCTCGACAGAGGGCGGGCAGTGCTTGCCGATCTCGGACAGCAGCGAGAGGTCCTTAAAGGCACGCAGCGTCGTCTTTACAGCGTCGCAAATACCTTGGGTGTAAGTGGGGAAACAATTCGTAAGGTCGAGCGACGAGCGAAGCAAGATAAATGGATCTTTTGGGTCGGAGTGGTACTCTTCTTCCTGTTCTGCTGGGTAGTGCTTCACTATTTGAGATGATGGGTTGATCTCTCCCTAGCTTGGATTGTAATAACAGCGGTTGTTGTTTTGATAGCAGCTGTGGTAAATAGTTTCACTAGCGCAGGCGTTTTGAGCAGTGGGCGGGAATTTATGTATTGTTTTGATGTCAATTCCATAGATTGAAAGAGAACAAGGCCCGAGCAAATCCCGGGACTGTCGCAAGTATGTCCCGTGAGTCCGAAGTGGTTCCGTTGGGGCCCGTAGCCGTGGGGATCGAAAACGGATCGAGCGATTTAACCGCCCCCCAAACTCTTTTTCTTTCTCACCGGCAACGGCTCTCTTCTCTTCTCTTTTCCATCTCCCCATCATCCCAATTGACTCTCCCCGCCTCGTTATCTCCTTTTGATACACTTTTGCCGTCTTTAGCCTCCAGATACCATGTTCGCTGCTCGCCAATCCTTCGGTCTTTTCCAGAAGCGGGCCTTCTCGGCTTCTGCTCGCCAGGTACGTAGACTCGGCGAGAGCTCGGTGCTTTCGCGTCTTTGCTATGTACCTCCAAGATACTAGATCAATTCAACCGCTTACAATTCTGCGATCGTTAGGCCTCCAAGGTTACCGTTCTCGGTGCCGGTGGTGGTATTGGACAGCCTCTCTCCCTCCTCCTCAAGCTCAACCCCCGTGTCTCTGAGCTTGCCCTCTACGATATCCGTGGTGGACCTGGTATGTGTCTTACCTCGAGCAATTCGCAACATTTTTGCGGTTCGAACTGACCGAAAACCCCTCTAGGTGTCGCTGCCGACCTTAGTCACATCAACACCAACAGCACCGTCTCAGGCTACGAGCCCAACGAGTCTGGCCTCCGTGATGCTCTCAAGGGCTCCGAGATCGTCCTCATCCCTGCCGGTGTTCCCCGCAAGCCCGGCATGACCCGTGACGGTATAGATTGCATCATCTGCAGCTAGCATCGCATACGGATAGGAACTAATCACATCTTCAACAGACCTCTTCAACACCAACGCTTCCATCGTCCGTGACCTTGCCAAGGCCGCTGCTGAAGCTTCCCCCGAGGCCAACATCCTCGTCATCTCCAACCCCGTATGCTCCAGTATTTGCCATCAAAATCCGTACTTGTGTAGCTAATTCGACCAGGTCAACTCCACCGTCCCCATCGTCTCTGAGGTTTTCAAGGCCAAGGGTGTCTACAACCCCAAGCGTCTCTTCGGTGTCACCACCCTTGATGTCGTCCGTGCCTCTCGCTTCATCTCCCAGGTCCAGGGCACCGACCCCGCCCAGGAGGCCGTTACCGTTGTCGGTGGCCACTCCGGTGTGACCATTGTTCCTCTGCTCTCCCAGTCCAACCACCCCAGCATTGACGGCGATGCCCGCGACAAGCTCGTCAACCGCATTCAGTTTGGTGGTGACGAGGTCGTCAAGGCTAAGGACGGTGCCGGTTCGGCCACTCTCTCCATGGCCATGGCTGGTGCTCGCTTCGCCGAGTCCCTCCTCCGCGCTGCTCAGGGCGAGAAGGGAGTTATCGAGCCCACCTTCGTCGAGAGCCCTCTCTACCAGGACCGTGGCATCAACTTCTTCGCCTCCAAGGTCGAGCTCGGCCCCAACGGCGTTGAGAAGATTTTCCCCGTCGGTGAGGTCAACGCCTATGAGCAGAAGCTCCTCGATGACTGCCTTAGAGACCTGGCCAAGAACATCAATAAGGGTATTGACTTCGTCAACTCCAACCCTTAAATACTTTTGCACGAATCTTGAAAGTTCCGCAGCGGCGTTCCTCCCTGTATAACAGTCTCGTCATTCCATCTACCTACCTCAATTTTCATCCCATCGACTAGTACTACATTGGAGGAACGCAGCTGCTGATGGAGTACTCTCTCAGGGGGCTGGGTGGCGGGAGATATGACATGTATTCCCTACCAAAATATAAATCAAATCGTAATTACGACTTATGATAACTCCAGCTTTTTGTGCATCCAGTAAAGTCAAATATACTCGAACTCAAGCTAAAATATTAATGGTTGTAAGTGTATACACGGAGAATAGTTCATAGCCAAATAGAGCCAATGCCCAGACTTCAGTACTCTGCATAATTACAATCACGGTATGATAGTAAGTCATCCGAGAGTAGGCATATGTCTCCTTTTTTTCTTGCCATTTGACCTCCCCTGTGGCCTGTCCACTCAATCTGATAACCTGATACTAGCGTAATTAGCGTCCTCTAGCGACCCACTATCATCCACCCTGGTCACTGGTCAGTGGTGACGGTTGACGGTTGACCAAAGCAAAAAAGCCCTAGAGTCTAGAGACCTACTAGCTAGATACTACACAACCAGGAAAAAAAAAGACGTATCCACCACCACCAGACAAGCCGATGAGCAGTAAAATTCATGCCTCCACCCAGGATCGAACTGGGGACCTCGAGATGTCGCAGATAATTCTCATTCCTGTTTGAGCAGAAACGTCATATCGAAATATGAGACTCGCGTCATAACCAACTAGACCATAGAGGCGCGATGAAGATATCCTGGCGTGTATTCGGACTATCAACTAAACATGGTGAGAAGCAGTCTAGACTTGCCGACTGGTAGTCCCCCTTGGCTTGGCTGCGTTTTTTGATCTTTTGGTCCCCTCTCTACTGGGCCCAGGACAACGGGTTGCTTAAGAAGGAAAATGGTGTGATATGTTAACAATATAAACTACACGGTGGAACTAGCTTCTTGGAGGATGTGTTGAGCAACAACTAACTATTTCTGGGACTCTGTCTAACTCCCTAGTGGAGATATGCAATTCCTCAAATATGTAAAACCAGGCAGCATAACGTTCATCACTCGTGAATTCGTGGACCCCTCTTGTTAGGCATACCAAAAGGAGTAAAGGTATCCAATAATGAGGAGCAGGGAAAGAAAGAAAGATAGGTACTAGAAGCATTATCCTAAGGCAGAGCAGAGAATTTCAATGATAGAGAGAAGAAGAAAAAAGTAAACTCAATCAGGTGTAACTCCTCATAGCATCGATGTAACCAGTCCCTCCGCGTAGATCATGATCGAATGTCTCTGCCACGTCAAGAACACGTTTGATGTGCTCCATGGATAGAGGGGTTTTCTCGTTGACGGCAAGGGCTTGAGCTGTGCGGACGGAATTTTTGATCTGTGTAAAGGTTAGCTAAGTGCACAAAGTTTGATAGGAGGAGGGGTAACTCACCTGTCGTCCGTTGAGGTTATGGCGTGACAGAAGATCGTAGTCCTTGTCCGTAAACGTGGCTGTCTGTACACCATCCATAGCTTGAACCTTCTCAAGGAACATCTTCCATACACTGCGCTTGGCCTTCGTGGTGAGGTCACCGTAGCGCAGTGCGACGTGGATACGGGATTGGAAGGCGTCGTCAAACGTTTCCACCCGATTAGTTGTGAGGAAGAGAATGCCCTGAAAGTACTCAAGAAGACGAAGGAAGATGCTGACGAGTGCGTTGCGGTGGATGTCCTGGATTGTTCGCTTCTCCAAGAAGATGTCTGCCTCGTCAAGAAGGAGCACAGCTCCCCAAGAGTGAGCAATGTCCAGGATCTTGTTCAACTCTGCTTCTAACGTCCGCGAGTCTGTGCCGAGCTCGCCAGCGCTCACCATGTACAGGGGCCGCTTCAGAAGCTCTGCGATTCCTTCAGCTGTGAGTGTTTTGCCAGTACCCGGTGGGCCATGGAGCACAGCAACGAGGCCTTTGCCCTTTCCTTGAATCACATCGTCGATATTCTGTGCGGCACAGAAGGTGTGTGACTCCACCAGAGCCTTGACGATAGACTTTTGATTGTCTGGGAGGACGAGCGACCGGAACGCATCCTCATTCCATTCAATATCACTGATTCCGGAGATGCTGAATTCAAGCCATAGTTTTTCACTAAAAGCAAACCCCAGAACGACCGGGCTCGCTATAAGCAGTTCTTCTTCCGTGAAATCCCGCTCAGAAGCATCGCCGACTTCATCCATGTTCTCCTTTTGAATTTCGTTCCCGTTCTCGTCAACCTCTACCGCGACGACTTGAGGCCGGCCATCGTTGTCCCTAACAACCTTGTACTTGTACTGTGGTGAATCCGAGTCGCGGCGGTGAGCTTGTGGTTGATCCGACTCCGACCCTGAGACACAACAACACCCAGCATCGCTATCATCCGAGTCACCAAGAAAATCGGGGTCTTTAGGGCGGACCGTGCTGATGGGATAATTCGGATTGATCCGACGGTGGATGGCCGGGTCGATCATAACTCGCCCGTTGATATTGACTTTGATGACCGTGCGCTTCTTCTTATAGAATGCCATACCCTTATGGAATCGATAATTCATACCCCTCAAAGACACGAACTTCTTACCACGCTCAATGAGCTTCGCTTTAACCTCCTCGGCTTCGCGATGATATTTGAGCGGGTAACAGCCTAGGCTGGTGATCTTCCGGGCTCCCTTAAACGATTCGACCTCAGCTGCCATGGTTCCCATTCCGAACGTCTTGCCATCGTACTCGAGATATCGGCCTTCAATGCTATACCACTGACCTTTCATGAACGATGACTCCTTGGTGGCATACTCGATCTTGAACGCGCGAGGCTCATCCTGGTTCCCGTAAGTGGGCGCATACGCAATCGTGTTCGGTTTGAACAATGCCCACAGCAGGTCGAAGGTGATCGTATTTGCCTCCAGCAAAGGATATAGCGTCTTCTTGGTCTCGGCATAGTCTGTATCCAGGTATTTGATGAGAACTTTCAGATGGCTAGCTTTGATAGCTGCTATTTTCCTTGCCTTCTTTTTCTTCTCTGTCTTGGCCTGCTGCTTGAGCTCCTTCATATATTGGCGTGTTTCCTCCAGGTACAAGAAGAGCATGTTGGGATCGACCACAGCCGTCTCTTGCACCAGGCTGACACCCTTGACGCCATCCATGACCTTGCTCAATGCGTCGCGAAGGTACTTGCTCTTGAGATCCACAACCGTTTCCAAGTACTTGTTATCCCAGTCAAACTTGCGGCGAACAGTGAAGAGATACTGGTCCCATTCATTCACGGAGGGGTCATCGACTGTCTCGGTGAGCTTGAAGTTGTGGATTGTGTTGTCCCATACTATGCAGAGCCAGGCCCAGAAGTCAGCAATCATCTCCAGTTGCGCTGAGAGTGGGGAGGAGGAGTGGGAGGCACTACGCACATTGATCGACTCGTTTGAAAGCAACCTTTGAACCGGCCTTCTTCTTTAGCTTCTTGCTTTCCCCAAGTTGATCACCCAGAGATCGTCTCGCGCGCCCTTTACCACGTTTCCCTTCCGTTTGCGCCTGTTTTGACTTTAGTTTAGCCTTGGCCAGGGTGAGCGATATGTCAAGCAGTTCCGTATCGTCATCATCGTATTGTTGATCTTCAGAGGAGTCGCTCTTGGGATCAAGTATCCTGGACTTCTTTTTCAACTTGATCTTGTTGATGAATTTCTTCAGCTGTTTCTCGTCAAGGGAATCATCCTGCTCGGTTTCCTCAACATCCGACTCGGTGTCTGACTGAGACTCGTAGCGCGACTTGAGCTTCTTCTTTTTGTTACGCCTTTGATGTTTCTTCGCCTTGGCTCGTGTTAGCCTCCGCCGAGAATGCCGGTCGACTTCCGGCTCTGACGACTCTGATGAGGAGTCTTCATCTTCCGGGTCAGAGTCGCTTGAAGTAGTACTCTCAGATGAGGAGCTCAAGTCGGAGGAGCTGTCGTCGCTGGGGGTCACAATTGACGAGCTCTTGCCTGCACGGGACTTCTTCTTGGAGCTGCGAGTTCGAGCGTTGGGATCCTGTTCCTTTCCGGGGTGCTTCTTGCAAGCGGTCTTTTTTGAATTGCTCTCCGACACAGATACGGCCGGCTTCGCATCGGATTTTCCAGCATTGTTATCGACAGCTGGATCAGCTTCGTGCTTGTTTTCGGGCGTGTTGGCAGTGGTCGTCGTGTTCGGAGTGTCGGCCATGGCTTCTGGCTGCTGAGAGACTGGAGAATGGACCCACTGTGGAGCTGCGCGGAGCGGAGCTGTAGATGAACTTGAGGTTGTGGTTAGCGTTTGGACTTGTTTGCGCCTCGAACTCCCGGACAGAAGACTGCTGAGGGTTTCTTGAGCTTGGAGGGGGAGATGAGGATTTGCGGACATTAAGAATAATTTATAAATGTGAGTTGGAGCAGTTATGGGGCGCAAAATGAAAAAAGTTGAAAGGCTACAGATGTTGAACGATTGGGTGGGGAGCGGGAAGGTGCCAGTGGTGAACAGCTTCCAGCAAGAAGAAAGAAAGGCGGACGAAAGAGAAGAAGAAAAAAGGGACAGCGAGACGATCTATGAAGGTGACGCACTTCAAATAAAGACCACGATGCTTCAGTGCGTGGCCTGCCTTGCATCGACGGCCTAGAGGATTATTGGCTGGGGACAAGTGAAGCTGGTCTGGCGGTGTGTTAGTCTGGATCTTTGCTGGAAGCTTGGAAAAAAGAACCTTAGATGAGGATGGGGTCTATACGGGCTGAAGCCCACGAGATGTGGAGGATGAAAGGAGCGAACGGGGAGAGTCAGGAGTTGGCTTCTAATAAAGCAGAAATGCAGGCGGCCAGGCTGACAGGCAGAGATCAGCCTTATATAACTTCTGAGCAATGAGAACAGTCAAAAGAGAGCGACAGGGGATTATTGAAAAGCAATCAGCGCAGGCAGAGTCACCAGCTGGCAGGCAATACCTGTTGTTGCTTCACTCGAGCTGATGCCTGGTGAAGGCTGACTCCAGATCTGGGAGGGTAATGTGATCTGTGATCTGATGACTCCCGACCTGAAGACTTCCTGCGCCGTCCGTCGGCCACCTCTTCTTCGCCCCACGATGCACGTCGGCCTTCCTTGACCTCCTTTCATCGAGGCGATCGTCCCCAGCCTAGACGAGGCGCACTTTAGTCGAGCTTATCAGCTCCGTCTTGACTCTACCCCAACGAGCTGAAGGAATGAACAGGGGGTTGGTTTCTGGATAACATTTGGGGACAGTTGCAGCTTTAAAGCCAGGTACCCCGGGACAAGATTTTTGAGCTAAATACCTTCCAGGTCTCCAAGCTTGACCAATATACAGTATGTACGTTTGGGCATTTTTCCGTCTCGCTGCCCATCGAACAGCGCTCTAACCAGCTCCCATCCAGACCCGGCTCCTGGGTCTGCGTGCATACAACACCGTTCTTCCTCCCTCCGCGGACTCCCGGGGTATTCCTCCTGCGCATCCCCGGTGAGTTTCTTATTCCTACCATCTTCGGACGCAACTTGGCTGGTGATCGAGAGATTCATCCCTCGTCTGCTGCAACGTCATAATACAAAGTACCCGATTCTGGTCACCGGCGCTTCCCTCGCCAAACCGAGCCGCTAGCCCCGAAGCATCCCGCTCCCAAATTGCAGTCTGGAGCCTGGACACGGGAGGAACAAGAGCTGGGAGTATGGGCGGAACTTGGAAGGACGAGACCGACCACCGAAATTCTGGACCCGTGTTACACGAATCGCTGATCG